ACTAACGGAGCGGAGGGAGGGGCGCTCGAGGAGCGGCGATGCAGCGCTGCCGTTGGGTTTATAGTTCGGGCACAAAAAAGGGAAAACAAAGAAAAGATAAGATGGGCATCAGCGACAGTACGAACGGTCTGAACGATGGGGCAGGGCGGGTCGAATCAGCCACCTATTGTATCGCACCGGGGTTGAATAAGTGACATGGCGTTGGCGTTTATGGTTAAGAGGATACTAACTTCTCCGATCGAGGTGTGGTGGTGCCACCGCATGCATTGGACCATCGCATGCAACGAGACCACATTGTGGTCGTAGTCTTCTCTGAGGGGGCGGTAAGGTTGTGCCGACCTTCTCATGCACACACGTCCGTCTGCGTTCATAAAGCGAGCAATAATAACTTTTGCGAGGCCCTTGCAACTTACGTTAACTGCGAGTCAGTTTTATACCAACACAAAGTCTCCTCCTCGCGACTGCAAAAACGTGTCAAGGCGGTCGCACCTCTTATCCGACTCGGTGGAGAAAAAAAAAGCTGGAAATTTTGCATAACGATCGTGGAGCACTGCGCTGAGTGGGCAGGCACGGCCTGTACCACAACCACACGTGTTGTCACTTCTGCTCCAATTAATTATACCTCGTACAAAGTCGTCAACTTCTGCGTCGATTCTTCCAAAAAGTGTAGCGACCCCGTGTGCAGGAGGAGGTAGCGAGACACAAGGTAAGTCGTGCAAGCAGCGGAGCGCGAAAGAAGATATATTGCAGACTGACACCTCTAACGATCGCCGTCGTGGCCCTTTTATCAGACTCGCCCTCGGGAGGGCCGTAAAACTTGTCTCGGTCTTTGGAGTAGACTTACTTGTAGATACAGAGCGGCGAGCGGGCTAATCTCACGCGCGGTACATCGATCAACGCAAGTGGTTAGTTCCCCTCCCCTCCAGGCTCCGGGCTCCGGGGCAGCGAAACTAAATATACGAAACGAGTAATGGTTTTGCAGCTGCTTACAGCGCGGGGCAGAGGGGGGGCTGTGGGGAACGGGGGTACCAGCGCGCTGCAGCCGTATAAATAGTCCGCGGTCGTGCATTTCCAAAGGAGTCCGCCCAGTGACAAGGTCCTGAGCATACCTCTTCGCTGAGTACGGATAGCATCAGGCAATATTTTATTGTATTTTTTTGGGAGTGCTAGAATTTTTTTGATTTCGGGTGAAACTATTTATTTTTGACTCTGAGAACACATGAAAAGGGTGTGGGTTAATAATTGATAGATAAGCTGAATACATAGTCGTATATACTCTCTTTATTCTTTGATTTGCATAGGTTCCGTCTTACAATGCATTACAGCGTTGACTAGTTTTCCATTCGAATACTCATTACTATTAACAACAATAATCGTCATTAGAAGTTAGGGCTTTGGTGAGATCAAGCTGCGGCCGGCAGGAGGAGGTGCGGCGCTCAGTACAGGCCGCCGTAGCCGCCGTGGCCCAGGGCGTGGCCGTGGCTGACCTCCTGGTGCACGGCGTGGCCGGAGTTGGTGACGACGGCGTTGAAGCCGTTGTGGGCGTCGGCCGTGTAGTGCACGGTGCGGGTGACGCCGTCGGGCTGCACCAGCGAGTACTCGCCCTTGACCACGTCGCCGTCGCGGTGCTCGGAGGCGCTCTTCACGTCGCCGGTGTGTGAGTCGTGCACGCCGTACTTGTACGAGTACTTGGGGTGCGCCTGCGAGACAAAGTACCTCTCAGATTATACGAAACACTTTTGAAAGAGTCGTGAAAGTCTTGGCCGGGTCGACCGGGCCCCGTCACTTACGTAGAGGTCGTGCTCCTCCTCGTACACGGGGTGCGCCAGGGCGACCGCCACCAGCGCGAAGAAGAGGGTCACCTGGCACACACAGAATACACGTAAGAGCGACAGAAGAGCAGAGTGTGTCGGGCGCGCGAGGCAGGGCAGTGTCCCAACCGCCGTGCGCAGCCCCCCCCCCCCCCCCCCCCCCCCCCCACCCCTCTCCCTTTTCTGCTATGAGCCAGCATGCTCGAATCACATCCTGGATTGCTTCAAAACGCGATTATTGAATCGCATGGAGGCAATCAGTGAGCTTATTATTCGAGACTCATTCGATACTGCCGACTACCGCTGCCCATGGGCTGAGCTAGGCCCCCTCTCTCGTATATGTCTCAATACGCTTTCCCTCCTGGGCTTATCTGGCCTCAACTCAACAGTCTTGAAGCAGCTTGTAGAATAAGCCACCACAACCTGGCTTCCCGTGGCCTCAACGGCATCCTGGCCTCGCCAGAAGTGCTGAGGCCCGAAGCGACAGTTTGCTGCCCTCAGCTCGGCCCCGCCAGGACAGCGCAGGGAAGCAGCGTCAAACGCAATGAGAATCCAATCCAATCCGTTCACGGGCGATGCACTTATCCACACAATCACTCGTTCACTCGTTCCCGGCTGTGTTCACTTTGCGAGCGTATCACACTCTCCTTTGCACTGGTATCACTTCACCGTTGCGGCGGGGCGGGGCGCGAGGGCGTTGGCAGGCGAGCAAGCGATAGACGTACCTTGAGGTAGGCCATGGCGGTCCGGGTTGGGAGCAACGATACGACTTTCTCACAAACTGGGCGAAACTGTATTGACGCTACTCGTCTTCAGCGCTAGTTATATATATGAAAGCTGCGGCGCATCCCCACCCTCCTGCTCCTGTTCTGCCGGGGGATCCGGGGGCGGGCCGGGGGCGGGCCAAGGGGGCCAGAGGGGCCATCCCTGTCTGCGGCGACGCGCTCTATTTCCCACCACCACCACCACCACCACCACCGTGTGTATGACGTACGGTGACGACAGCCTCCCTCTCGTGCCCTCTCGTTCCCTCCCCCTCTATCTCTCCTGTTTGCTCTTTCTCTCACCCCCTGCTCCTCGAGAGGCTCCCTCCCTCTCTCTTTCTCTCTCCTTCTCCCTCCTCTCGTCTGTA